AGGGAGAGGTTGGGGAAGACTCCGTCCAGCAGCAGCACAATGGTGTGGTGGTGGTGGAGGAGCGTGGCAATCCTGCAGGGCTTCGCCAAGCACCGCGGGAGAGGAGGAGGGAGAGAGGTAGGGCTGCTCCAGGGAGAGGAGAAACTCATGTGTTTGCAGCCCCAAAGACCTCAACTATAGATAGGGGAGAGGGAGGGGGCTGCACCCCCTCTAGGGTTCCCACCCCAAGGGGTGCGGCAGCCCCAAAACCCATCTAGGGTGGCGGCCAAGGGGGGAAGAGGGGGAAACTTGCCCCCCAAGTAAGGTGGAGGCGCCCCCTCCCCAAACCCTAGGCGCCTTGGGCCCTGGTGGGGGGGGGGCGCACCAGCCCACCTGGGGATGGTCCCCTCCCACACTTGGCCCATGCTGCCCTCTGGGGCCGGTGGCCCCACTTGGTGGACCCCCCGGGACCCTCCCGGTGGTCCCGGTACATTACCGATAGCACCCGAAACTTTTCCGGTGACCAAAACAGGACTTCCCATATATAAATCTTTACCTCCAGACCATTACGGAACTCCTCGTGACATCCAGGATCTCATCCGAGACTCCGATCAACATTCGGTAACCACGTACATCTATTCCCTATAACCCTAGCGTCATCGAACCTTAAGTGTGTAGACCCTACGGGTTCGGGAGACACGTAGACATGACCGAGACAACTCTCCGGCCAATAACCAACAGCGGGATCTGGATACCCATGTTGGCTCCCACATGTTCCACGATGATCTCATCGGATGAGCCACGATGTCGAGGATTCAATCAATCCCGTATTCAATTCCCTTTGTCTAGCGGTATTGTACTTGCCCGAGATTCGATCGTCGGTATCCCGATACCTTGTTCAATCTCGTTACGGGCAAGTCTCTTTACTCGTTCCGTAACACATCATCCCGTGATCAACCCCTTGGTCACATTGTGCACATTATGATGATGTCCTACCGAGTGGGCCCAAAGATACCTCTCCGTCACACGGAGTGACAAATCCCAGTCTCGATTCGTGCCAACCCAATAGACACTTTCAGAGATACCCATAGTGTACCTTTGTAGCCACCCAGTTACGTTGTGACGTTTGGTACACCCAAAGCATTCCTACGGCATCCGGGAGTTGCACAATCTCATGGTCTAAGGAAATGATACTTGACATTAGAAAAGCTTTAGCATATAAACTACACGATCTTTGTGCTAGGCTTAGGATTGGGTCTTGTCCATCACATCATTCCCCTAATGATGTGATCCCGTTATCAACGACATCCAATGTCCATGGTCAGGAAACCGTAACCATCTATTGATCAACGAGCTAGTCAACTAGAGGCTTACTAGGGACATGGTGTTGTCTATGTACCCACACATGTATCTGAGTTTCCTATCAATACAATTATAGCATGGATAATAAACGATTACCATGAACAAGGAAATATAATAATAATAACTAACTTATTATTGCCTCTAGGGCATATTTCCAACAGGAATCTGCCGCACGTGTTGACCAGCCCTAGGCTGGTGGCTCGCCCGATGCCACGCGGCGGCGGCCCAGTGGAGCGGGCGACGTGCGCTTCCCCGACCAACCGCACTGCTACAAGCGGCGGGCCCAGGCGCGGCCGACCGACGCGGGCGCGGGATCTAGCGCTGACCCGACCAACCAGGAGGGTGCGAGCTTCGGTGCTGATCCTCATGGCGCCGCGCAATCATTGGCTCATGATGAGCCTGCTGGTGCGTCAGGAAGTGCGCCAGGATCTTCTGCGGCTGATACAACTTCGTTGTCACGTGCTGAAGCCACAGAGGATCCAGTGCGGGTGTTAGGCGAATCTGCCTCGGGATCGCCTGCACCAGAGACTCCTGTGCGCGGCTCCAGATCTTCTATGCCGGCTGATTCAACAGTGCAGTCTAGGCGGCTCACACGGTTACAAAAAGGTGTAACTCAACCCCTTAATTACAAAAATAAAGCAAATATGGCCTTATTTATTCTACAGATGAACATGCTGAACCAAGAACTCTGGATGAGGCACTTGGAGATGAAAAGTGGAGAAAAGCAATGATGGAAGAATATGTGGCACTGAAGAAAAATGAAACATGGCATTTGGTTCCCCCACGGCAAGGTAAAAATCTTATAGATTGCAAGTGGGTGTTCAGAGTTAAAGGGAAATCTGATGGAACTATTGATAGATACAAGGCTAGGCTTGTTGCCAAAGGTTTTAAACAGAGATATGGTATTGATTATGAGGATACATTTAGTCCAGTTGTAAAATCTGCCACCATTCGCCTTGTTCTGTCTATTGCTGTTTTTAGAGGATGGAGTCCCAGACAGCTAGATGTACAGAACGCGTTTCTTCATGGTGTTCTGGAAGAAGAGGTGTATATGAAACAGCCTCCTAGGTTTGAGAGCAAGTCTAATTCCTCGTTTGTGTGCAAACTTGATAAAGCACTCTATGGCTTGAAGCAGGCCCCAAGGGCATGGTATTCCCGTCTTAGTCACAAGATGCAATCACTTGGTTTTGTCCCTTCCAAGTCAGATACCTCACTGTTTATTTACAATAAGCTCAATACATGCATATTTGTTCTCATCTATGTTGATGATATTATTGTTACAAGCTCATCTAGTGAGGCCATTGCATCATTGTTGAAGGATTTAAGTGCAGAATTTGCTCTCAAGGATCTTGGAGATTTGCATTTTTTCCTTGGGATTGAGGTGAAGAAACACAAAGATGGACTTCATCTCTCTCAAGAGAAGTATGCAACCGATTTGGTAAGAAAGGCAGGCCTGCAAGGTTGTAAACCTTCCTTCACTCCATTATCTAGCTCAGAAAAGCTATCTCTCACAGAAGGGCAACTTTTGAATCAAGAGGATAGTACAAAGTACAGGAGTTTGGTAGGTGCACTACAGTACTTGACTCTAACAAGGCCTGATATCTCTTTTGCTGTCAACAAGGTATGTTAGTTTCTGCATGCTCCTACCACTGTGCATTGGACTGCTGCAAAACGCATTGTCAGATATGTCAAACATACTTTGAGCATTGGTCTTAACTTCAGCAAGTCATCCTCAACTCTTGTTAGTGCTTTCTCTGATTCTGATTGGGCAGGCTGTCTGGATGACAGGCGCTCCACTGGTGGATTTGCAATATTTTTTGGACCAAACTTGATTTCATGGTGTGCAAAAAAACAGGCCACAGTGTCTAGGTCTAGCACAGAGGCAGAGTACAAGGCATTAGCAAATGATACAGCTGAAATCATATGGGTTCAATCAATGCTAAAGGAACTTGGTATCCGAAGTTCTCAAACTCCATGTTTGTGGTGTGATAATCTTGGTGCTACCTACTTATCTGCAAATCCAGTCTTTCATGCCAGAACAAGGCACATAGAGATAGACTTTCATTTTGTCAGAGAAAGAGTTGCATGGAAACAGCTTGATATTCGGTTCATTCACTATAGAGATCAAGTTGCAGATGGGTTTACTAAAGCCTTGCCTATCAGAAGCTTTGAAGAGTTTAAGCATAATCTCAACCTGATGAAGTTGTGATTGGGGGGGGGGGGTGTTAAACACCATCATATGCGGCATATTAGAGATAAGGCCAGGCATATTAGAGATAAGGCTAGGAGGTAGTTTGTATTGAGATATTCTTGTAACCATCTCCTCCTTTCTTCTCTCACAAGATGTATCCTAGATTCTCTCTTATCTCTCTCTCAAACCGCATGTAAGCCATCTAGGGTTTTGGCTCCCCTGCTATATAACGTGAACACGTCGCCCTCGACAAGGGCAAGACGTTTACCGCTCGCACAATGTGCCTTCCGCCAAATCAAACTAGCTAGCTTGAAGCCTTCGGCCAAAACGTCGTGCTGATCAGTTAATAATCAAGTTTTCCCATTCTGCCAAATAGCATCGGCCTTCCGCCATCATGCACGGACGAGGGCGCGTGGTGGCTTTCCACTGGGCAAATGAATGTCTAGACTCCCGCAAAGCCTCCCGTTTGCGGAAAAGTGGGTCCGGACTGCTCGGCAGACCGATATCCGAACGTATGCAGGCGGTTTGAGAGTCGACGTTGGAGATGCCCTTACACGTCACAATATGCATGTCCTATATGAACCAACTTTATTGGCAACCAGAGATTTCACAGGAACGCCCACAATATGCATGTCCTATATGAACCAACTTTATTGGCAACCAGAGATTTCACAGGAACGCCCATTCCAAAACAAGGATTTGGTCTTGACTTGCAGTGAAACCAGGAAATGGTGATGCACTACTCTTCTCCAGTCTCCATGTTTCAGCGCAAAAGTTGCAGGGTCTGCGATGCTTGAAACCCCCACAAGGCCACAAGCCTGAACTGAATTTGTAAAGAGCCGTGCTTTAGGGAGTCAGCTATTTTCGCTCCCCTTTATGTTTTACTGGTACTCACACGCACGTTGCAAAACATACATAAACATAAGTTTCATTTGAAGCATTTCTCCAGAAATCAGGCAGTTTCTATCAGTCTAGTTGCTTCGATGCCGATGGCTACTACCAGTCCCCAGATCACATGGTCTCTGCTTGTTAGGAAAATTGCTACTGTGTGCACTGTCAAAAATAAATAAAAAATACTGTGTGCACTGCCAACTCCACACTTCAGCATCTGCTTGTTGAGAAATGACAATGCAGTATTGGCCCAGGAGTAACTGCTTCGATCTCAGATGAAAAACAGAATCAGAAGCATGAGAAGTACACATGCTTAAAAGTACCAGTGCCCACATTTCGAATCCGACATGATATTCAGGTCATTTCCCATAGTAGGTCAGTCGGTTTCTGTTAGTTTATCTTCGCGCCGCCATACTTCTCACGATTACAACAAGACTGCAAAGGTCTTTACAAAATACAAGCGGGAACGCAATACTCCTAAACAAAGTTAAGTTCCATAACCCTACTCTACTACACTAACACCCAGTGATGATCTCACAGATCCAGAGCCACACTTGCGCCACATCTAACAACAGCACTACCGCCTCCCTCTTGCTCCAGCCCGGCGAACACTTGAAGCACCAGCTCTCTGCCCCTGGCTAGTGGAAGCTGCTTTAATTGCTGTAGAAATGAAAGAAATCAGAATAATAAAAAACAAGTGATTGTTGAATCGGTTTCACCTTAATCTACATTTTGCTTACTCAACAATAACAAAGACTAACAAGTGGCACTAACCCAAAAACACCACCAAGTCCAGATGTTCATATAATCATCTTTCTTGAGCACAACATTTATCATCATGTGTAAGGTTACTTGCTAAGAAACATATTTTCATCTTATGTTGCTTAGTGCCACGGACAAATTGTATCAAAGGATTTTACAGGGTTTATATGTGTGCATGTGATATATATATAAAACCTGTAAAATCAGAATAATATAAAATCGATTGATGGATGAATCGGTTTCACCTTAATGTACATTTTGCTTACCCGGCAATCACAAAGACCAACAAGTGGCACTAACCCATACACACTACTAAGTTCAGATGTTCATAGAATCATCTTTCCTGAGCACAACATGTGCCGTCATGTGTAAGGCTACTTGCTAAGAAACGTATTTTCATTCTATATTGCTTAGTATCACTAACAGACTGTGTGAAAGGATTGTACAGGGTTATATATATGCACATAAGTAATAGTAGTACCTGGGATGTAGAAGCTCATGTAGGGAGTGATGTTTCTGGCACGACCAGACACTATCCTGACTTGTCGAGACTTGAGATCGACCATGTAGGAACCAATAAATGTGCTCACAAAAATGACTTGGGTGCCCTCCGCGACGCCATTAATCCCATAATCAACTGTTTGGGTCATGAGGGCCCCGGCAGGGAGCAGCTTCTTAAGATCGATTACCCTGAGCTTTGTCCATACCATGGCTCCCTTTGGCCCAGCCTCCCCTGACCACAGGGTTAGATTTGTGACATCCACCATAGCAATGAATCCGAGCCCACCGCCTTGCGCCGTCATGAGACGCCCCTTGCCAGCGACCGGCTTCTCAAACTTTGACAAGCAGAGTTTACCGAGGTGAAGCTCGACGATGCCATCGATGTCGAAGTAGAGCGCGTCCCCGACAAGGACGCTTGGAGCACCTTGGTTGGCATAGTAGGCGACTTTGGGGTGACCAACGGTGGCGAGCACGCTCCACACGCGAGTCTCCGACGAGTACAGCCAGCCCGACGTGACTCCTACATCATTTGTGGTCACGACGGCCAGGCGGAAGTGCCCTCCTTGGCAACCATAGTGGTCGCAGCCTTGTGCGGCGCAGAGCACCGCCGCACTGAACCAGAGCACATGTTCGTCGACCGGAGAGAGCACGCGGCGCACGCGACCAGTGAGAGGGTCCAGGACGGTCAGGATGACGGCATTCCCTTCCCTGAAGGAGCGGCTGTAGGGGGCGAGGAGCGCGCGGCCGTGGCGGCAGTCCAGGGGCCTGTCGACCAAGCGGCCACGGCCGGGGTGGACGGAGGGGAGGGCGGAGGTGGGGACGTAGGCGCCGTCGTCCTCGTAGAGCCCCAGGACGGAGGGCGTCCGGTGGAACTCGAGGTAGCGGCGGCGGAATCCCGGATCGGCGAGGATGCGGAACCAGGGCTTGCAGACGACGGAGGCGCGGACGAGGCAGGCGGGCTCTCCCGGCGGGAGGCGGAGGAGCACCGCATCAACCAGCTCCGGCGCAAGGCGGAGGAAGAGGTTCTCCGCGAGCTCGGCCATCGGCGCCGGCGGGCGGCGGCGGAGGCGGAGGCGAGGGTTTGGGTGGGGAGGAGTGTGGGTACTGTACGGAGCAAGTGAGGCTTGGCTTCATGTATCTGCTGTAGTGCTGTGTTCTGTGCTTGCTTCGTGGCTTGAAAAAAAAAAGGCAGTTGGAATAGAGGGTCTGCTAGGTGGGCCCCGGAAG